GAAAACCATCTGTGTAATAAATAGATAATTATGTAGTTCCAGACAAACAATAACTCCCCAATTCTTTTACAGCAACTTAAAGAGTAAAAGAACCTCAAGTTATAAGCAAGGAAGAAACATGCATTGCGACCTTCACGCCATCTCTGATCAAAATGTGGAAAATATCCAACTAATATTGATTATTATGCCATCTCTTATACTAAATTTTAACTACATAAGTATATATCGATAACAAAAGTAAGGTATGTGTAGCATAAACATTTTTAATCGAATTAAATATGAGACAGACCTTAAAAGAATTTTCTGTAGATGGCTCAGTAACCCAGTTAACCACAGTCTAAAGCACACCGCCGAAGAGAAAAAACTTATATCCTAAAGAGTCTACGAAATCGACTCTGGCAAGTGCCCGGCCTAGAAGCAATTGATGCGTGAAATAACAATTACATATCAGATAAAATCCACATCCTGTTTTTTTTCCGAAGTCTTTTTTTAAAATTCCCACAATATATTGTAACAAAAGTTTTTTGAGTTCTGTTACAACTGTCTGTAACATACTCCAGCACTATGACCCCAGAAATTTATAACAGTGGTTTAGGATCTTCATGGCACTATTTTCTTCGGATAATATTAAATACTTATATTAAAAATCTTTATGACGTTTCGGGAGCCACATGTCTCCGTCCCGATCACTTAAAAAGTCTCAGGGAATACGCAGTCCTGCTCTTTCTTCCTACATTTAGATGGAGACAGAGACTCTGAAACGTCGTATATCTTCTTCATATGGACAATAAACAATGCCAAATGACGAATCGAAAATACCGATTTGGCTAAATATTCTTGCCCGTTCCTTTTAGCAGCTTCGGATATTAACCATGCAGACAGAATGACTATCTTAACAGCATTGTGCGTCTATTTTATGTACGATTCATACAACGAACGCATATCCAAAGATAATAACACGCCCTCCTTAATTAAAAATCTCGCGTAACCTCGCGAAACGATCTGTACCATCTCTAGCTTTCATCAAACTTCTTTGCATGTTTTACTGAGAATTTCCAAGGGTCAAACAGACGGAGGAACTATCGTCTGAAGCGCATCGCTAGGAGTTCTCGAGGAAACAGATGACGTTTTTTGTAGTGAGAGACAAATCCAGACGAGTTTGGCGCCAGGGTGCGTTCTATGCTTCAGCGAGCCCAACTCAGGGTTTCCCTTTGTGGGGCACCGACAAGAGAGTTTTCAAAGAATTTCGTCTTCCACATAACTTCACCCCTACCTGCATCACAAGGGGCAAACAGTATTTGTATTTATTTACAAAACACGTTTGCTTTTTATAAGTTGGAATATCGAGAACTGAACTCATGACTAGCAACATATTCCACCTTTTCTGTCGATATAACCATAGCATTCGTACCATGCGGTTATCTAGGAGGTCATGACCTCATATACTGACATAATTCCAAGTACATTGCTTCTTAAAGATTGTCCTTCCTTCTACCTCAACTTTCCTTTCCGAGCTCTGAACTAATCTTCGAAAACGTCATTTCACTATAAAACTGAGATTCGACGAACCGCTTGGAG